TGCTGATTCCAGACATTTTGAACTCAGAGCACTAGGTAAGGGAGTATTGTGGGTAGAAAAGGGTGTTGTGGATGGTAAGTAATAAACAGTTGAATGAGTGACTCACGGAACCTGAAGGTAGATAAGACAAAAGAGTTGTGATAAGTGCTTCGGTCATAGGAGAGCTTCGGTCATAGGCGATGTAGATGGGTGCAGTGTAGGAAACGCTGGTGGAAGAAAGAGCTTTAGGATAAGTAATCTGTATTGACCTTTCTTCCATTTGACATCATCTGTTGAGAACCTTTTGCACCAGCCCCTGCCATAAAGGGCACAAAGGTAGAAAAGAAGGGTCGTCGCCATGGAAAAAGTTACAGGGTGTGGAATTAACAAAAAAGAAGAGAAAATTTTTAAAAAAAATTTTTTAAAGAAGAGAAAAATCAGAAAAACTTGACCAAATTGAGAGTAATCCTTATTTAACTCCTTATGTGTGTCATTTGCCATTATTACCTAGCATAAGTAGCCGTCATACACGTCATTAAATGGAGATTGGGTTATCTCTGTTGTAACATGTGTTCCTTTGCAGCAGTAGCCTCTGTTTATACCTTCTTAGCCTTCGTGTGGTCTGTTTGTGAACAGTTTAAACAAATTGAAAGGAGCCTTAGTACAAATCCACCTGCAACTTCCCATAAGCAGTATGTATGGAGTAAATGTCTGTAATAGTTTTTGGCAAGTGCATTAAATAAATCTTCTCATCTTGTTGTCCACCCACCTTCACCCCTTTCCCTTGACCACATCACACGTAGCACATTTCTGTTTCTAACCATAGCCTAAATCAAAGTATTTTCGGTGCTCTGATGGGAGTAAATAGGAGAATTAAGGCAAAATTTCTCTAGTAGTTAAGTGTCAGAGGGTGTGTATGTGTGGCGGGGGGAGCAGCCCACAATCCTCCTCTCCCTTGGAAGCAGCATCAAGTATGTCTCCGTGGCTTTGTGCCTTCCTGTCAAGTGCTTCAGCATCAGCATTCACTTGAAAAACTGCCTTAATTTTATCATGTGTGTAGTGTTTGGGATAGGGCTTTCTACCAGGAGGATGTGAAAGCTTGGAGGATGACAAGCACTCCTATTCTCTGGGCACTGGACTTCCTCTTCACACCAGCCTAACAAATAACAAACACAGCATAAATTAGTTCCATCCATCTTTGTGCTTTATATAAATGGTACCATAGAGTGTGCATGGCTTTTATGTCTGCCTTCTTTCCTTTAACACATGATTTGTGAGATTCATTCATATTGTTGCATATAATTTTAGACTGTTTACCTTCTAACTGTAGTGCTTTCCCCTGTGTGACTAAACTCAAATATATTTACCCATTCAGCTGTTGAGGGATGTTTGGGTCATTTTCAGTTTGAGGTTATTACAATTGCTGCTATGAACAATCTGATACATGCAGTCCAGTGAATGTATGTATATATTTCTGTTGGAAATATAACTAATAGTGCACTTGTCAGGTAATAGGATATGTGACTATTTCAGTTTAAATAGATACTTGCCAAACAGATCTCCGAAGTAGTTACACTGATGCTCCTGTCCATCAGCAGTGTAGGAGAGTTCTGATACCTCTGCACATCCTTTTCTATCTTCTCATTTGAGGCTTTCTGGTATATGTCCAGCACCACACTGTGGTTTAATTTGCATTTTCTTGATGACTATTGAACTTGAGCGCTTGTCATGTTTATTGGCCATCTACAAATAATTTTTGTTGTTTGCTCTAATATGGTTATTCTAATAACATATAGCCAAATTTCTTACCCTATTTTTTCTCTAGTACTTTCATAGCTTTTTAAATATTTTTTTAACCAGTTAATGTCACAGAGAAATCAAATTCCCTCCTTTTAGGCTAATCTAATATAGTTGTTTATTATATAGTTTTTTTTTTTAATTGTTCAGTTACCTGGTAGTAAAGGGAACAATTTTTATCTTTCAAAACAAAGGGAAAGATTTCACCAAAATGAAATAACTTGATGTATAATAAATGTGAACAGACTCAAGGAAAATTATGCATAGTCATATTGGAATATGAATAACTGATGTAATTTTTTGGATAAGATAAAATGTTTTACATCAATTATATACTTAAAAGGCAGTCAGCCTTAATATTGAGAGAGAAAACAAGCCTAGAGAAGAAGGCTGATGGAATTTGCTTTCTATATGAGAATACTTTCTAGAGTTGATATGACATTGACAGATTTTATTTAAATCAAATGAGCTATTGTTTAAGAGGCCTTTTATATTATTAGAATTCAAGGCTGCCAAGCTGTTCTGTGAAGTGCAGTCATGGAATTTCAGAGAAGGCTTCCATGGTTAGGTGAGTTGGATAAACTCATTAAACAGAGTGATTGGAGCATTTTGAGCTTTGCTAAAGACCACATGGGTAGTGTGACAGCTAAGAAAAGGAATGCTAGAGTAAGCTAGGTTGTCTGGCTGTGTCCTCATTCTCCTGTTTTAAGCAAATACACAGTGGATTTATTACCTGACAATGAGTGACAAAGGTATATAAAAAGTACTGGCTCTCCTTGTTGAAGGAAAACTTAGTTATATATTGCTGACTGAAGCTTCTTATCCTTTGAGGCATCAGTAGGATTTCAACTGACCCCAAGTCTTTCCATATTGCTAGCTTAGATATTATTCTACACAGAAAAGATTTTTATGAAAATGTCTAATTCAAGGAACAGTTTTCTCACAGGCTTGAATGTCTTTGAATGTTCTATTTCATTGACCAAGAGTGAACACAATGCAGATCTCTCATCACTTGATAGTTCTTGCCTATGTGTGCTCCTGATTGGCCTCAGTGGCAACGGATCAGTGATGTACTGAGGGGGCCCTGGAGCTTCACTGACCATGGTCTCATTCCTGTGCCTGTCATTCTATCATTATTGCTGTACCCCTTTGAGTTTTGGAGGATTTGGGAGTAGGATTTCTTTTTTTATTTTTATTTTTAAATATTTTGTTTATTCATGAGAGAGAGAGAGAGAGAGAGAGAGAGAGAGGCAGAGGGAGAAACAGGCTCCATGCAGGGAGCCTGATGTGGGACTTGATCCTGGGTCTCCAGGATCAGGCCCTGGGCTGAAGGCAATGCTAAACCGCTGAGCCACCCGGGCTGCCCCGGGAAAAAGTACATGTATACTTGAAATTTTTGTCATTTGGCATCTTATCAAGGACGTGCTAAAATAGGTCCTGCATAGGGAAGAGGAGGAGATGGGAGGGAACTTGTGGGAGAAGAAATGAGTTAGAGCTCCCAGTTTTACTGTCCAGTCTTGATTCTGTCCCAAAAATTTACCAAAAGCATCACTCCTGAAAGGTGTTTGTGTGTAAAAAACAAAACAAAACAAAACAAATATATATATATATATATATATATATATATATGATATATATGTTCCCTTTTTTACCCCAGGAGTATCACAAATTTGAGAGTAAAATGTATTTTGAAACAGATATCAAGAAATGTGTTCAAATAGTTTCTGTCATTATTAAATCTGTCCTCTAATCAAATATAGGGTATGTGTGTGTGTGTGTCTTCATTTACACTGTTACTTTCTAGAGATGATGGGTGTGACAACAAAGAGGAAGGGAGACAATAATTTCTCCTTATTATTGGCCATTGCCTTTAACATTTCTCCTGGCCTTTCAAACTGGCATGCTTCCCTCTGCCTCTAAGTGGCTCATGTTTCAAAAATATTTTGAGAGAATTGTTCCAGCGTGTTTTCTATCCTATACTGAAAATCTCTGGTTATATGTTCTAGAAAAACTTGGTCTGATTAATAAACAGGAAAGAAGGGTTCACAGAAAAGATCACCTGATAGACCTCTCTTCAGTTCCAGATCTGCTCTGTGACACTCTCTTTTCTTCATCCTTTCTGGAAATGCCTGAATTATACCCTAATGGTCAATGAACTCTTTGTGCTTTAAGGAGGGAGAGTTGAGGATCTGTTTGACTTTTGCTGAAGCTAGTCAATTAACACCTTGAGGTAGTAGCAGATGTTACTACCTGGAACACATAATGACCTTTGATTTGAAAGAAGCCAGCACTTTAAAGTTTTAGTTAATTATGTTTGAGATAATTCACAGCTGCTCTGGGGCCCTCGCCTCTTTCATTGACACTAAGCCATATTTTAACTCACCCCCAGATGTACCAAGTCTATTCATTGACTCAATGAGTCATTAATTGCCTTTAAAGTTTCATTAGAAGCAGAGACATTGCTAAAGAGCTTGTATTAGTCACCCTTTGATCCATGTTCAGTTAGACATTTGAACAAGAATTGATAACGTAACCAATGATGTCAAAAAAGAGAGACTAAGGCGGGTATTGGATTCTCCACTGTCCAGGTCCAATAAATAATGAAAAATGTAAAGGACCTCTTGGAATGGCTTCCGGTCAGCCAGTGTGAGATGCTGCAGAGGTTAGATAATAGATTGTCGTAGATGATAGTTTGTGTGAGCTCACATGTTTGCCCTGTCTCGCCCTCCTTTCTGCGTCCTCATTTCTAGGTCATTTTTTGCTACTACCCCTTTCACATAAATAGCACATTTGCTCAAGACATAGAGTTTATTTTGAAGGACACAGGTAATTCAAAAGCTATTTATGTTCGGATACTACTTACCTAACTTAAATAGCCCAGCAATGATGAAATACTAGCATAGCATAATCTAAAATAGTTTGGCCTAGCTTATTAAGTTGTTATGATGCACATTACAAGCTCATTTGCTGTAATTAATTAGTGGAGCAAGGATAGAGCCTCAGCTTTAATTGCTTCTATCTAACAAATGTTTTCGAGGAGAGTTCATTTATTAAGAGCAAACTGAGAAGGGTACGTATGCAAAAAGCTCCTTTTGTTCTCTCTTCACTTTACATTTTTTTCAATGCTATTATTTAAAATAAAATTTTTAAAGGTCTAAATAGAAGCAAGTATTGTGTTTCTTTGCCAGCAGTGTTTTTTACTAAATTGACATTTCCTAAAATATCATCTTTACATGCAGTGTGTTTTCCTCCCAATGTTGCTGGCTGATCTTCATGCTTTAACTCTTTCAAATCCTTGGACTGCTGAGGGGCTAGAGTTGGGAGCAACGATGGGATGGGATTCCATTTTCTCCCTTGCCTTGTCAAGTCTCCAGAGTAAGGTGAGATGACAAGTATAATTTCGCACTGTGAAAACAGCAATATGAAACCAATGGAATAGATAATACTGTGTGTTGATATCAGCCCCCTGAACTAGTATTATTATTTTTTTATGGATATTCATTTTTATACTGTCAACATGCAAACAGTAATAGTTCTTTCATTATTTAGCTCTGAATAATTTTCAAGGTGACTTTTTACATATATTGTTTCCTTTAGTCATATTCCAAACACTGAAGCTGGCTGGGCAAAGTCCTGTTCCTCTTCCTTTACAAGTAATGGGACTGACATTGAAACATGCTAAGGGATTTGGCTGAGAGCATGTATCTGTGTTTAGTAGAGACTAGAAACAGACCTGGCCTTCTGATAGCTGGCACATATCCCTCTATACTATTGTTGTTAAAGATTTTAAACATATGGGAACTCAATGAAACAGATACCCACAAAGCCACCTTCTTAGATTTGATAAATGTTAGCCTTCTGTTTACTTGCTTCAGATCATTTTTTGTTTGAGCGTTTGAAATCAAGCAGGCATTGTAAATGCATCTAATACTGTCCTTCCCCCATCTCTTTTGCATCCTTCTGCTCTCCCTTGAGAGTCACCATAATCCTGAATTTGTTGGGAAGCCTTCCCATGAAACTTCTCAGAGTTTGTATTTATATATCCATGAACATATACAATATTATGTTATGCTTTAAAATTTAACATATGAGGAATCATATGTACCATTTTGCAACTTCAGTTCTGTCCTACTTCTTCAGTAGTATGTTCCCAAAATTTATTCCTATAAATCTAGTTCATTCATTTCAACAGGTGCATAGTATTCTATTGTATGAATAAGCCATGTTTATTATTCCATTCTTTATTTATGGACATTTAGGTTATTGTCCATTTCTCCCTATTTCAAACAGTGCAGTAAAGAATATCTTTGTGCAAAAGAATATCTTTCCTGCTTGGCAAAAGGTACAATAATTTCTCTTGGCCTGAAGGATGTACCTAGGAGTTTAATTAATATGCTATACTCATTTTCAAGTTTTCTAGGGGTTAGCATATCTCTTTCCAAAGTAGTTGTGCTAATTCGTTCTGCCACAAGCAACATATAAATTCTCTTTCCCTATATTTTTTCCAATAATTGGTTCCATATTGTTCTCTCCTACTTCCCTAATTCCACTGGTGTATAATGATTCCTCCTTGTTTTAATTTGATCCTTATGTTTACCTGTCTTTCCCTATACTTAGTGGTCACTGAGATGTCTTCTTCAGCCAATTACCTGTTTATACTATTTGCTTTTTTTTCTGTTGAACTTTTTGCAGTAATCTTATTATGTATAGGAATTTCATATATATTCTGGATATTTTAGCAATTATATCTTCTCCCAATCTGTGACTTGTCTCAACCTTGCCTATGGTGACTTTTTTGTGGTACAAAAGATTTTTATTACAATGTGCAATATGATTTATTAATATTTCCCCTTGTTTTTGTAATATTCTGCCTTTTAAGAAATTCCCTAGACTGACATCATAAAGATATTCAACTATATTTTGAGAGGGCTTAAAGCTTTTTAGGTCTCTTTTTTTAAGATTTTATTTACTTATTCATGAGAGACAGAGAGAGGCAGAGACACAGGCAGAGGGAGAAGCAGGCTCCCTGTGGGGACCCTGATGCGGGACTCGAACCCAGGACCCCGAGATCATGACCTGAGCCAAAGGCAGACGCTCAACCACTGAGCCACCGAGATGCCCCCCTTTATAGGTCTTATAATCATTTTGAACTTATTTTTTGTGGATGTTGAGAGTTAGAAATCTACTTTTACTTTTCCCTTGTGGATAGCAGTTATCCCAGTGACATTTATTGACTAATCCATACTTCAACTTTTGACTTTTTTAAATTTAGTTTTTATTTTCTATCAAATGGCATGTACAAAATACAAATGCTCAAGAATTCTACAGTCTATTTTAGAAATGAAAACTAGAAGTTCCCTGCCATTATACCTCTTACCATTTCCTGCACCCCAAATATAAATGCTATTTTATTTCTTTTAGTCTTTATAAAGTTAAAAAAAAAAAAAGAAAGACAAAAGAAAAGAAAAAACTCTTTGTCCCTTAATCATATGCTTGTGATAACAGCTCTTAATTTGTCATATTGGGACATTAGTCTTTAAACTTTGGAAGTTGAGGGTGTTTGTTTCTGTTCTCCTAAACTAATGATACTGTAATGTTGGTTCAATAAATATTCCATATTTACATTATTTTCATTATGCAAACTATTTACAAATGATCTTTGTACTATACTTTAATTACTTTTTCTTTCCTGCACATTTTTGGGTTTGTTTTTCTTGGAGTTATGGACTTATTTTATTCATGTATTTATTTTTTATGATCTTATCATAATTCGCCCCAAGCTATTTCTTATATAAATCTCCTCTTATATTCAAACACTTCCATTTTCTGACAATATTGTCTTTTAAAAAATATTTTAATTGAGATATAATTGACATGTTACAAATTTGTTAGAGGGGTACAACATAATGATTCAATATTTGTATACATTGAGAAATTATCTCAAAAAAAAAAGAGAAATTATCTCTACGTTAAGTTTAGTTAACATCCATCACCTCACATAGTTACAATTTTTTTCCCTTGGGATAAAAAATTTTAAGATCTATTCTCCTAGCAACTTTCAAATGTATAACATGGTATTATTCACTATAGTCACCATGCTGTACATTATATACGCATGACTTATTTATTTTATACCTGGAAGTTTGTACCTTTTGATTCCCTTCACCCATTTTGCCCATTCCCCAACCTTCCTACATATAAATGAGATTAAATAGTATTTATCTTTCTCTGCCTGACTTATTTCACTTAGTGTTCCCAAGATCTGTTCATGTTGTTATGAATGGCAAGATATTCTTTATTTATGAGTGAATAATATTCCATTGTGTATGTTTACATTTTCTTTATCCCTTTATCCATTGTGAGTAATAGTGCAGTGACCATAGGGGTAATGTATCTTTTCAAATTAGTGTTTTCATTTCCTTTGGGTAAATACCCAGAAGTGGAATTGCTGGATCATATGGTAGTTCTATTTTTAATTTTTTGAGGGACCTCCATGCTGTTTTCCATAGAGGCCATACCAATTTACATTCCTACCAACAGTGCACAAGGATTTTCTTTTCTTCACGTCTTCTTAAACACTTGCTATTTTTTGTCTTTTCGATAACAGCTATTCTAACAGATGTAAGGTGATATCTATTGTGGTTTTGATGTGCCTGTATCATCATCAGGCACTTTTTAAAGATGGCTGTCTCAGAGCTCTCTGACCTGCAATCTGGACAAGTTGTTCTCTTGGAGATAAATAGCTGGTGTCTTGAGATCTCCTGTTATCATCCTGGGAATTCCCTTTGCTTCCCTCTTGTATTAGATTGCTTGTTTTCTGGATCCCATTCTTCCTCTCTTTGCTTAATTCCCTTAATTCAGTGGAATATATTCGTTAGTAGCTCCCTAAGAAAGAGTACATGTTAGATAAAGTTTTGGGGACCTTTAACACCTGAAAATATTCTCTCCATAACTTGACAAGGTATATGTTTTTAGATTATGTTCCTCGGGTTACATTTTCCCTCAGAATTTTGAAGGCATTGTCCTACTTTCTAGTAATGCTCTTAAAAAGTCAGAGCCATTTTATCCCTAATCTTCATTAATAAGAGAGGACCGGAAATATAGAAGAATCTTCCTGAGCTGCAGAGCATGAGTCCCTTAATGCTAGTGTGGAGTAACAATGAAAGAATTTGGAAGAAACTAATGCATGGTCACTCTCTTCCTGCCTGGGGGAGGTGGGCAAGGGACACCTATAGGACCCCAGTGAGGAGAGAAGTCAGTAAGTGAGGATACATGAGCTTCCTGTGGGCCAAGTGAAAATAGATTTGTATTGTCTTCAAAGAATCTCCCCCAGGAACTACCTCCTAGGCCTGGAGACCCCAGCAGTAAGAAAGTATGGGTATACTCAAGATCTGGGGAGGTGCACAGGAAGTCAACTGGAAAGTTGCACTGTTGCAATGTGGAGGCTCCAAGGTCAGGGGTCAATCCTCAAAGGGCCCTCAAATTTAACCTTTGCACAGTCAGATTTCAGCATGCACCATGGAGGGCTCAATGGAGATGTTCTCAGTCATACCAAGTTTGCCACTAAAGAACCACTTTGTAAACACTTTTGGAGGAACTACTCCAATGAGAAGAAAAATAATTCTAGGAGATACAACCAAAGATATGGAAAATAAGGATAATTAGATAAATGTACTAAAGGGTATTTTTTGTTCAAAAAAATTATGAGAGGCCAAAGGGCAAACAAACAAACAAACAGAAGCCAACAAAAACCTCTTACTATTCCAGACCTAAAATTCTAGGTAATTCTATGATGGGGAAAAGAAAAGTGTAAACTAAAGGGATGAGAGTGTATCGTAACAACACAGCCTTAAAATCTACAGACCATTATGATGATGTATGATTTTTTTCTTCACAAGAAGTGGGGAAAATCCCCTCCTTATCTTGTACCAGGATGATTCAATGTCAGAAAATATCAATGGATTACAATATATTTGCAGTCTTAAAAATAAAAATCATATATTCATTTCAAGAACTACAGGAAAGTTATTTAATAATAGTAGGCAGCCAATGGTGAGTAAAGCAGTGGTATGCTGGAAATGTAATAAAAAATGATCCACTACCTCTTCCAGACAGCTCTACCTTGAATAAAGGGTGGAAATGAAAATGGAGGTTTGCTTTGTTTTATTTTGTCTTAGATCAGGTTCTCTAGAAACAGAGAGTGACTGTAGAATTCAGGGCAAACGTGTTTTTGAGGAGTATTCTTCAAAAAAAAATCAATAAGGTTAAGGATAAGAAAAGTGGGAAAATGGAGCAAAGATATGATTTCAGGATACATGCCATGTAAGTGACACAATAGAACTGTCCTTCCTGGAGTCAGAGACTGGCCTCTTGCACCTTTGAAATCAGTTGATATATATGTAGTGGTAGTGGGGTGGTGGTGTCATGACATCTCAGGAAAGTTGGCACCTGTCAGGTGAGGGCAATTCTCCTGAGAGAATTGTCTGGTAATCATTCATAGACAGCCTTCACAGCAGCTGAGAGGAGAATGTGCAGGCCCAGTAAATGGATGAGGGCAGGCTGGAGAGGAACAACTTAGCTTCTACCACACTAATTTATATATTAAACTGAAAATTCTAGTTTCTGGATCAAGATTGCATTTTACAACTTGAAGTGATTGTAGGATTTTTTTTTCATATCACATTGAAGATTGCTTGTTTTTATCCCAAGGCAGAGGAAGATGTTCTCCAACTGAAAAGGACAGCAGAAAACAGAAAACAAAAACATTTGTTTCTTTTTTAAGATTTTATTTATTTATTCATGAGAGACACAGAGAAAGAGAGAGAGGCACAGACACAGGCAGAGGGAGAAGCAGGGTCCACGAAGGGAACCGGATGTGGGACTTAATCCCGGGTCCCTAGGATCACAGCCTGGGCTGAAGGTGGCGCTAAATCGCTGAGCCACCTGGGCTGCCCAAAAACATTTGTTTTTGTTATTTGTTATTATTACATCCAATGAGTCCTACATGCTCGACATACTACATATGTATACACCTATTATACACATATGCATATGTACACACGTCGTCACATTTCATGCCACACATACATGTTGGCACATATGTACACGTATGTGTACCTGGATATTTCATCTACTGTCTCATATTCTATAGACTAGAAAAAATCAGTGATATATTCTTACAATGATCTTATAAGTAGCTACTGTTAACATCGGTATTATATATGCATTAAGATCTAAATGACTGTTATTGCTAGAGTGAAAGTGTAGATGATATTCATATTTTCTTTTTAGCATTCCCCTTCTTTGAAATAAAGAAAGTTGAAAAGAGGGCACTTCTTTTTCTGCCAAAGATCTGGAAACACTTTGTCCCTGGATGGACTTTCAGCCAAATGAGGATCTCCATAGGAATGGAAGAAATCACACGCTCTGCTCCAGGATCCTCCATTTGCCAGGTCACATTGCTTTACTTTGGATTTCTACCATCTGAGAGAAGGTCAGTCCAAAGACCTAAGACCTACCATGGTGCTGCAGATTGCTGAGCAACGCCAGGGAATATGTCCTCTTGTGTCTTTGCCAGGTAAGGATCTGAAGATGAGATGTTTGCATCCCCGGTACCTCACATTTTGTGCCAAACCAGGACTGCACTGCAAGAACTCTCTTTGCCAATTTTCCTTTATTAAAAAGATACTCCTCTCCATGCCCAAGAATAATATTATGGAAAAGGATAACCATTTAGCTGTGTTTGACCATGGTCCTAAGGAATTCAGCAGGATCCCACAGAATTCCAAACTACACATTTTTTAATTCATAAGCAAAGGATGAAAGGTACATCATTGGACATGATAATAGAAAATATGCAAATCTTTAGAATGCTTTACAGTGTCCCCAGAATGCAAAGCTTCGATATGATGGATGTCATGTACCATGGTTATATACATAGTATGCAAACATTATTCTCTGAGCAATAATAAAATATGCTTCTTTGGAAATTGTGAAAGCTGAGCTGACCATTAAGGATTTGGCATTTCGTTTTGCTGTATGGAAAGACATTTAGCATGTGGTTTCACACCCAGTATTTGGGAGGTGGTCCAAGCTCAGTGGTCCTAGACATAGTCAACATCCGCTTCTTCTAGGATTTAGATAGCCCCACTAACATTCAGAATCTCCGGGCACACATTGCACCATTATTTTAAAGCACCTTTCTTAGTGCCAGACAACAGGCAAACACTAGTGAAGTTCCAGGGAGAGGCATGTTTATTTGTTTTCTGTGGTTCAGAAACCATTTCCGTTTGCTTGAATAAGACAGTGTCTAAAAGCAACTTCCTTTCTTTTCCCATGGCTCCTTGAAATGGCAAATTATTAAAATTATCAGGATTACTGGCGTGAGAATGAATGAGAGGTGATCTCATTTTGGAGGAGGCACTGAGCAGAAGAAAAGATTTGAAAAATTAACATAAATCCATTCTATGGGACTCAAGGTTGGGTTTTTTGGGTGATTGTTTGGTAATTCCTCTCTTCCCTCCCTTGATAAACACACACACACACACACACACACACACACACACAAACCCCTTGGTTACTACATCATAAAGATGATTCACCTCGGGAATTCAGCCCATGTCACTACTCAGGAGAGGTCATAAATGAGAAGAAAACAATGAACAATGAAGTAGAATTAACAAACAAATGAAGTTGCTGAAAAGGAAACTTTGTTTATAGGTGGCTTTCTGAGTACAGAGAGATCTGGTATATCGATACTAGATTGCTAATCAGAAAATCTGGAGTCTGACCCCTGCTCTGACACCCATGTGAGTTTGGATGAGACCCATAATCATACCAAGCTTCAGTTTCCATTTCTATAAAATGCTGAAACTAGTTGCTTTGCTTACTCCAAAGAATTATTGCTAAGTGTCGAATAAGAGAACATGTGAAAATATGTCATGAACTACAAAGCACTTTACTAATATACCAGTAGAGCATAAATATGTTAAACCTAAAGATTGAATTGGTTTTCTTAACTTTGTCCCTTCCTATTTGTTCCCTGTGCCATGAGGCCCTCATCATCTCAATTCCTACTCAAAACTGGTCTCCTATTTCCAGTCCCATACTTCAAAATCTTTTCAGTCTCTTCTGTTATTGAAAGCTGGTAAATCTTCCTAAATTACCATTTTCCTCGACAATGTCTTAACTCTTGGAAGCCACTGAAATCCCATGTGGTATTTTAAAATAATAAAAATAAGATGCTATGATAAAGGCATAATGTGGGTGCTAATGTAATCTAGATATCAATTTAGATCTCTCTGTTGCTTGAGAATCAGGCATCTAAATAAATTGGTTCCTATTCCCGATTCCATAGCCCATAATTGGTCAAAATAATGTCACATACATTATTGAGAACATGCTTGCTAAAGATTGCTAAATTGATCTGGGCCTTCCCCCCCCCCCCCCCAAATGATAGAAACTCAACTTAATGGGATTTCTGGGTGGCTCAGTGGTTGAGCATCTGCCTTTGGCTCAGGATGTCATCCCGGAATCTTGGGATCGAGTCCCACATCAGGCTCCTCCCTGGGGAGGCTGCTTCTCCCTCTGCCTGTGTGTCTCTGCCTCTCTCTTTCTCTCTGTGTCTCTCATGAATAAATAAATAAATAAAATCTTTTTTTAAAAAAGTGAATCTATTTACTTTTAAAAGATATATATATATATATATATATATATATATATATTTAAGATTTTATTTATTTATTCATGAGAGACACACACACAGAGAGAGAGAGAGAGAGAGAGGCAGAGACACAGGCAGAGGGAGAAGCAGGCTCCAAGTAGGGAGCCCAACTCGGGACTCAATCCTGGGTCTCCAGGATCACGCCCTGGGCTGAAGACCGCACTAAACCGCTGAGCCACCCAGGCTGCCCCAGATTCACTTTTATAACTAAAAAATAGAAAAGAAGTATGGCTTCAGGCATGGCTAGATCTAGTATCAACAGAATTGTATCAACAGAATTCTGCCTTTTTCTTTTTGCTCTAGTTTCTCTCTGTGTTGTCTTCACTTGAAGACAGTGTCTCTTCATGTGATAGACATGCTAATGAATGATTAATTAAGATTTATTAGCAGTTAATTAGTGCTACAATTTAAAAAATAAAATAAAAATGGTTTAAACAAGATATTTCTCACTTATGGGTCTAGATGTAAATCATATAGACAACTATGTCCTGTAAAGTCTTCAGATACCCATTCTTAAAAGTGTGAATGGCCATCTCTCAATCACCCTTTGGTGATTGGTAATACTAGAAAGTATTACCATTGGTAACACTAGGAAGGGTTTTTATTTTCCATGACTCTTTTGGGTAAATATTCATCATTGCTACAACCTAACCACATGTTGTCTTTTTAAAAATCATTGTGAAGTTATTATAACCTTAGGAATATTTACTAAATCTACTATTTAGAAAACTGCTATTTTTATCAGGTTAGTGCTTTCAACTTTGGCTGCTACACCTTAGAATCATCTGAAGGATCTTAAGAAAAAAATGGATTCCAAGATTCCATTGTGGACCAATTAAATCAGAATATCTAGGCAATAGAGCCTGGTTTGTTTGTTTGTTTATTTAATTATAGGTTTGGGGGCACCTGGGTGGTATAGTCAGTTGTGTCTGACTTCGTTTTGGCTCAGGTCATAATCTCAAGGTCATGAGATTGAGCCCTGTATCAGGCTCTGTGCTTTGGACTCTCTCTCCCTGTCCCTTTGCCCTTCCCTGACTGTACTTGCTTTCTCTCTAAAATAAATAAATAAATAAATAAATAAATAAATAAATAAATAAATAAATAAATAAAATAAATGTAGGTTCATCACACTGGTGTCCATATGCAGCTAAGATTAATATTGTTTGAGGTCTATGTGGACTAATTGGTCTTCCCTAAACAAAAAAAAATTTTTTTAAAGATTTTATTTATTTATCCATAGAGACACACACAGAGAGAGAGGCAGAGGCACAGGCAGAGGGAGAAGCAGGCTCCATGCAGGGAGCCCGACATGGAACTCGATCCAGGGTCCCCAGGATCAAACCCCGGGCTGCAGGCGGCACTAAACCGCTGCGCCACCAGGGCTGCCCAACAAAATTTGTCCAAAATGGAGTAAGAAAGACAGAATGACTTTGTCTTGTATCTGGTCACATATATGACTTAGGTATTCTCTAATGTCTCCATCATCTGAAGATGTAAGAACTCCAAGCATCTTCCTAGTCATGGGTTTTTGGACTCACTCTCAAGAAGGATCCCAATTCCCTGTCCTCCCCATGTCTCTGACCCTTTGGCTGGCAGGGCGTATTCTGTTGTTTGGACCCTGTGGCTCATCTTTGCTGATGAATAGTCTTATCATAATTTCCATTTTGTCTAGACTAAAGCTCAGGGCAGCACACACTGTTTAACAATTGAAAGAAATATCCTGAGCTCAGACCTGCCCTAGGACACTCTTCTAAAGCTCCCATTTGCCTTAATATATGTGCAGAGGCCCCTTGCAGCCTAGAGTTTGGCATTATACCAAGCAACTATCTTTTGCTTATCCAGTGTCATAAATTCATCAGTAAGCCTATTTATTTAACTTGGTTTCTTTCTCAAATGACTTTACAAAATGTTAGTAACTGAAAGTCAGGTTCAGAAAGAATTTATGTTTATGGTCAGGCATTTTCAATGACAGAAATCTGGTTACTGAAACATCTGTGTCTTTCCATCCCTTTTCTTCAGCCATTGTTTAGAAGGCACCATATTTGACTCCAGTGAAAATGTGAGGTGCCAGTTTAGAGGCGGAATCTGCACCAGCTGTTAGGAGGGACATGAGAATCACATAGTTACCTGCTATAGCTGTTACTTCTAGTCTACAAGGAATGAGCTTAGTGTTTCACTAAGAAGAAAAGGAAAGAAAGAGCAGGGGTTGGTAATAAAGGATAGCATGGTATCCTTACAAAAGTGTTTGGGTGTAGCTGGTGAGGAAGAAAGATAAAATTGATCCACCCATCACCATCGGGGACTGAGTCCTGCAAAATAACTATTGACTGGATTATTACCTTCTTTCTCATTGCAGTTGTAAATCAAATCCTGGGGTAGGTGAGTTCAGATACCTCTAACCTCTCAGGAACACTGGAGTGCTAATAATCAGGTGTCTAGTTGCCCATGTTTTACTCATATGCCACAGCACCCCCGCAGCTAACCAGTAGAGGGTTAAGCTTTTGTTGAGTTCCCATGTCAAGGGTGATGGTGGGCTCTGTTCTGGGCCTACCAAGAACTGCCTCTAAGGAGCCAGGTCCTCCATTGAGGCAGTCTGGTGGGGAAAGAGTCTGGCTTTGAAGCCTGATCTACAGTTTCCTTGCAGTTTCATTCCAGGGGATGAATGAAAAATGCCTAACAATGTGTAAGAGGGGCTCAATAAATGATATCCGTAGGAAGGGAAGATACCAGGAGGGAAATCATAAACACAAAGTGGGTGCTGAGACAACAAACATATCAGCAGGGGAATTTAATTTAGGAAGTGATCCAAGAGAAAAGAAAGCTGACAAAGGTTGACAGCTGTGGTTGTAGAGAAGGATGTGAACTTACTCATTTTTTTTTCTCTTGCATCAATCTTCATGAAAAGTGGAAATGGGCTGATTCTGATGGCAGTAATCTTGGACTACCCATAGTCTTTGCACAAGTCAGCAAAGAGTAGTACTATAATGGACCTGGATCTTTCTAAATATGACTGTTTATACTATTATTAAATAATTTACTGTTTTGAGTCCTGGTTTCCTCACTTGTAAAGAGAGTGAGATATACCTGTCCTTTTCTCTGGGGTTTTCAAAGCTCAAATTCAGTAGTGTTTATCCATTTTTATTTATCTCATTTGTTCATTTAACAAATATCTATTGTCTACTATGCATCAAGCACTGTTCTGGGTGCTGGAGATATAGAAATGAACAGTGCAGGATAACATCCTTGCTTTTATGGAGCTTACATTTTAGCAGTAGGCAAAAGATAATAAGGAAATAAGCAAATAAATGTCCAATATATCAGGTATCAACAATTGCTATGAAGAAAATACATAGGTAAAGGGGATAGAATTACTGAAAAAGCTTTGTAAACTATGAAGAACTACGCAAAATTAAGATTTTACCCTATTTCAAACTCGACTGAATAATAGGATTAAGCTCAAGGTCTTTGGCACTGGAGAGTGCATTTGACATTTTCAAACAAGAGGAATTTCTGTTATTGCTCATTACAAGATCAGCCTTTTTTAAAAGGCCCCATTTTCCCACCTTCTCTTAAGTCCTTATATTGGCCCGAGGCTTCTTGGAAATGACTCATCCTCTTTAAAATAGAGGGAAATTTAAGTCAGCATCAGAAATATCTAGGATTTGAGTGTTTTCTAAATCTTAATTCTAATCTTTCTGTCTATGGAAAGTTCTTTTTCTTATTTTGCCTAATCCCCATTTTGGGAAATAGAAGCACTCTTCTTTTTTCTTTTCTTTCTTTTTGTGAACTCCTCAGTGCTTTATTTTGTTTTAATGTCTGTTGAAGATAGAATCATATTATCTTTATAGGTGCTACGTATTGAATATTAATCTTCAATAGAGGTTACACTCAGTTCATTTAATGTAATTTCTTGATTAATGTTAAAAGCGTACTTCTCAAACATTTATGACTGTCTCTAAATGGAAGGCATGTCTTTGAATAGAAAGAATAGCAAATCACTATTCTTTCACCAGTGTGGGCACAACTGAATTAAAAGTGAAGCTAGAAGCCAGTTGCAGTTTTTATTTTAACATGGAAATAGAGCACTCTCACCCAAGAGTCTGAGTGCTAGCAACTCCACCTGGAAGGATTGCTTCCATATAATATAAATTGCCTTTAGGCGTAAGGTAATAGATTCTAATTATTTTTGATATTCATTCCATTAAGCTGAACTACTTTAAAATGGAACTCTCCTACATTAAAACTCAGTAGTAACTGTTCATAATCTCTTGTTCTAAGATACTTTATTTTAATTTTTTTTTAATTTTTATTTTTTTTTAATTTATGATAGTCAGAGAGAGAGAGAGAGAGAGAGAGAGAGAGGCAGAGACACAGGCAGAGGGAGAAGCAGGCTCCATGCACCGGGAGCCCGACGTGGGATTCGATCCCGGGTCTCCAGGATCGCGCCCTGGGCCAAAGGCAGGCGCCAAACCACTGCGCCACCCAGGGATCCCCTTCCCAAGCTTATTTAACAGTGACAAGACATTAGCTTTTTCTCAAAGGTCAAGGAGGGGTTGATGGCTAGATGCTGTGAACAACTCCGATGCAGAAGTTTTCCTTCACTTGCTTCCTGGACTCAAAGAACAAATATTAAGAATCGATAGAGGATTTTATAAAAGGATGTGCCCTTAAAGTGAGGTGCAGAATATGGACTATATTGTGACTTTGAAAATATGAGGCTTTGCACCACTATTCAATATTATTAGCTTTAAATTGTCCTCAAAGTTTAAATCCAGGGATTTTTCTCTACGTTTATATCTCCAAATATTTTTGATTTGTATGAACTAGAAAAGACCCCTGCATTTTTATTTTTAAAAATTGCTAAGAAGGCTAAAAAAAAATTAAGATAGCATTGAGATCCTAAAACTGAAATCCAATTTAATAGTCTCAGTATGAGGGTGAGTACTTTTTAAAGCAACAGTTCATTATCACTTCCCTGTCTTCAATTTATTCTTTTGTTTTTTAATGGAATTAAAGGTTTTATTTTTTGCTGTTTGTTAAAAGAAAATAAAGTTCTACATGATATGAACACCAAAACAAACACTCATTTAATTAGGTATTTAAATATTCACTAAAACATTATCTATTTCTTTCTAAAATCCTACTTAAAAAAATCAATTACTTGCTTTGAAAAGTAGACTTTTTTAAACGTTTGTGTGTGTTGTAATTTCCAGTATGAAACTTGCCTTTTTAAATTAAAACTGAGGATCAGAGACAAATGACCTGTTGCATTTTTTTCTTTCTTAGTTTGCCTACCTTTCCTCTCCAGTCTCAATAGGCTGTGTCTTTGTGCACCTGAAGGAGAAGACAAACTTCTTTTTTTGAATAAAGCTATTCTATACAACTTGCTGGCATAAGTGAGAGGAATTCTCTCAGGCATGCTCTTTTTTCCTCCATTTCCTCCCACTATCTTGACCAGAGGTTCTCTCTACCCATACTCTAATCTCATAATCTGAAAAGAAAAAGAAAACGTTGTTCCAGCTCATTCTGGTTTGAAATAGGCCTTTGAGCTCTATTTACAAAGAGTCATTTCCATGACAATATCAAAGCCCTCAATTTCTATTCGGTGTTATAAAGAGGAAAATCTCTCATTCAAGTGACCCTTCAGACCTGTATTTTTTCCAAGGTGTGAGATCAGATGTGAAATGAGCCCATAAAGAAACTGGTTGGGAAAAACCAATAACTACACCCTGGGATTCTTTCCTGGGGTGTTAACAGTTCCATGTAACCCTCAGTTCTATTTGCATTAGTCCTCTGTTGAATATAAGAATTAGAGAAAGCACTTTAAATAAGGAAATTGAAACTTTATCCACTTCTATTCTATATTCTATTGAAAGTCTAAGGACATTTGATAAAATAAAATCACTTTTGTATAGGTAGTGGCACTTCCAAGAGATTAAAAAATGCAAATAAATAACTAAGGAATTTGCAAGATGAGTATTTAAAGTGCAGTCATATCTGTTGTTTCTTTAATGCTGATGAAAGCCATCCTGCAAAAGGAACCTCAGTATTTTCGGTAGCCTTAGAAACAGGAAACTTTGTTATGGTGAAATTTTGAATACAAATTCTGCTTTTGGTATTTTTCAAAACACTGGAGATAGTGAAATAAGACAGAAATATGCTAAACTTTAGAAATATTCACTTTTCCAAAAGCTGTTCTGAGTTTCCGATGGAATTTTATTCCTTTTCTTATTTTGTAGGAACGATTTTGGCTATTAAACTGCAGAGTGAATCTGACTGTTAAGATCAAGAAAATCTTGGATACACGTTGAATTAATGCTATAAACTTTCTTATATGTCTTCAGATGCTTTGGAGGAAATTAAATAGACAAGGGGACTGATTCCCATCCAGTCTACTGCCATTTGTGAAGTAAAAATTACCTCTGAACACAGAGCTTCATAGTAATTGCATAATTATTTTTGTTTTCTCATCAATGCCAGCCTGCTACGAGTGAGGTACAGCAGTCTGAAAAGAAGTAATCTGAGATGGAATTCTAACAAATTAAAAAATATTTCCTGCAGCCACCCCTCTTCTTTCTGATTTGTAAAAAGCCATTTCAAGAATTTATGGTGACACTGTAAAAAAAGTAAACTAAAGATCAATATCTCTGATGAATGTAGATGCAAAAATCCTCCACAAAATTCTAGCAAACTGTATCCAACAATACATTTAAAAAAATCATTCTCCTCAATCAAGTGGGATTTATTCCAAAGATACAAGAGTGCTTCAATATTTGCAAGTCAATCAACATGATACATCACATCAATAAGAGAAAGGATAAAAACCATATGATCATTTCAATGGATGCAGAAAAAGTATTTGACAAAGTACAACATCCATTCATGATAAAAACTGTCAACAAAGTAGATTTAGAGGGAACATACCTCAACATCACAAAGGCCAAAATGAAAAACCGACAGCTAAAATCATACTTCATGCAGAAAAACTAAGAACTTTTCCTCTAAGATCAGGAATAAGACAAAGATGTCCACTTGTACTCTTTATTCAACATAGTACTGGAAGTCCTAGCCACAGCAATCAGACAACAAAAAGAAATAGTGCTTGCTTCTGCAGCACATAATTTAAAGAATTGGAACAATGCATGGAAGATTGGCATGGCCACTGTGCATGGAAGACATACAAATTTATGAAGTGTTCCATATTTAAAAAAAAAATCAGCCAATCAATAAAAGACATCCAAATTGGTAAGGAAGAGGTAAAACTTCCACTATTTGAAGATGATATGATAGTGTATATTGAAAACCATAAAGAATCCACTAAAAAACTACTAGTACTGATAATTCAGTAAAATCATAGGGCACAAAAATTAATATACAGAAACCAGTTGCATTTCTATATAATAATAATGAAGTAGCAGAAAGAGAAAGTAATAAAACAATCCCATTTACACTTGCACTAAAAAGAACAAAATACCTAGGAATAAACTTAACTAAGGAGGTGAAAGGGCCTATACTCCAAAAACTGTAGAACACTGATGAAAGAAATTAAAAATGACATAAACAAATGAAAGATGTTCCATGCTCATGGGTTGGAAGAACAAATATTGTTAAAATGTCCATTCTAGCCAAAGCAATCTATAAATTTTAATATAATCCCTATCAGTATTTTTCACAGAACTAGAACAAATGATCCTAAAATATGTATGGAACCACATATTTTAAAGCCCAAAGAACCAAAGCAATCTTGAAAAAGAAAATCAAAGCTAGAGGTATCACAGTCCCAGGTTTTAAGATGTACTACAAAGCTGTAGCAATCAAAACAGTTTGGTGCTGGCACAAAAATAGACACATAGGTCAACAGAATAGAATATAGAGCCCAGAAATAAATCCATGGTTTTATGAACAATTAATCAATCACAAAGGAAGCAAGAAGATACAATGGGGAAAAGGCAGTCTCTTCAACAATGGTGTTGGAGAAACTGTACCACTTTCTAATACTATGCATAGAAATAAACTCAAAATGGTATAAGGACCTAAATGTGAGACCTAAACCATAGAATTGCTGGATGAGGGATGCCTGGGTGGCTCAGTGTCTGAGCATCTGCCTTTGGCTCAGGATGTGATCTCAGGGTCCTGGGATCGAGTTCTGTACTGGGCTCCTTGCAGGGAGCCTGCTTCTTCCTCTTCCTATGTCTCTGCTTCTCTCTGTGTCTCTCATGAATAAATAAATAAAATCTTAAAAAAATAAAAATAAAATTCCTAGACAAAAACATAGGCAGTAATCTCTTTAATACCAGTTGTAGCAATACTTTTCTAGATATGTCTCCTCAAGCAAGAGACTCAACAGCAAAAATAAACTATTGAGACTACACCAAAATAAAAAGCTTTTGCACAGTGAAGGAAAGCATCAACCAAACAAACAAACAACAAAAAAAACAACTTAGTAAATGGGAGAATGTATTTGCAAATGATGTTTCCAATAAAGGTTTAATACCCAAAATATATAAAGATTCATACAATGCAACATAAAAACCCCCAAAATAATCCAATTAAAAATGAGCAGAGGGTTACCCAGCTGGCTCAGTTGGTTAATTGACTGGGTCTTGATTTTGGCCCAGTGCCTTAGAATTGAGGTCCACATCAGGCACTGTGCTCAGGGGGCAGTCTGTGTGAGAATTTTTTCTCCCTCTGCTCCTCCCCCTGCTCTCTCTCTTTCTCTCAAATAAATAAATAAATAAATAAATAAATCTTTTTAAAAAAATGAGCAGAGGAACTAAAAAGACATTTTCTAAACAAGGTATACAGATGACCAATAGATACATGAAAGGATCGACATCACTCATCATCAGGGAAATGCAGATCAAAACCACAATGAGATGTCACCATACACCTGCCAAAATAGCTAAAATCAAAATCAACAAGAAATAACAAGTGTAGTGAGAATGTGGGGAAAAGGAATCTGTTTGTGTTGTTGATGGAAATGCAAGCTGGTGTAGCCACTGTGGAAAATGTTATGAAGATTCCTCAAAAAATTAAAAACAATTACCATATGATCCAGTAATTTCACTTCTGGGTATTTACCCAAAGAAAATGAAAACACTAGTTAGAAAAGATATATGTACCCCCTGGTTATTCCAGCATTATTTAGAAAAGCAAGCTATGGAAGCTGCCCACATATCCACTGGTAGATGGATGGATAAGGAAGATGTGGTATATATACACAATGAAATATTACTCAGCCATAAAAAAAAGAGTGAAATCTTTCCATTCGCAGAAACATGGATGGACCTAGAGGGTATAATGCTGAGTGAAGAAAGTCCATCAGAGAAAGACAAATACCATGTGATTTCACCTGTGTGTCAAATTTAAGAAACAGAATGAACAAAGAAAAAATATACAAACAAACAAAGCCCATACTCTTAACTATACAGAACAAATTGGTAGTTGTCAGAGGGAAGGTGAGCAGTGGGCTATGTGTGAAATGAGGGGATTAAGAGTACACTTGTGATGAGCAGTGAGCAATGGATACAATTGTTGAATCATTACGTTGTACACCTGAAGCTAATATAGCACTGTATGTTAATTATAGTTGGGTAAAAAATTTCTGAGCAGTGATATAGCTACATAGTATGAAGTGATAAAATAGTAATTATATAATTATTAGATTAACTCCAAAGTCTATGTATTAAAATAATAAACTTCTGCTTGTTAAAATTTTCAGATTATGTTAATCTTAATATATGTATATATATTTATATGAACTATCTCATTTTCCAAAGGATGAGGAAACTTTGGGTATAAGACTATGTTACAAGGATAAGTAAAATACTGTACCTTTCTTTGGCTGACTCCATTTGTATGGCTTGGGCAACTCACAAGAAGGTTGACTTCTTTTGACTCGGTTTCTCTCTTTAAAACATGGATAAAGAGACCCTTGGCTAACAATCACAAATGTTCAAGTCTCAAAGTTAAATTTGCCTTCTGGTAGTTGTAACTAGATGAGAATGAGGAAATAGGATAGCTGAAGAATATTTTATAAAATGAAGACATCTAAGGTTTTCTCTTAGAGCTGGTTAATTAGTATGCCTTTTCCCTTATGTCTGGTCCGAGAAGTTTTGCAGTCAATACTTTAGACTGCGGAACCCACTGTGTGGTAAGGCATTTTTCATTTTAGCTGTCATGTTCCATCGCACTGCTGCTGCCATGACACACTGCTCAGTTTTGGAGGTATGTTTTTAATTATTATTTTTAAAATCTTAGAGTATTTTGGACATAGTAGGTACTTGTTAGAATTGATAATGATGGTGAATTTCTTTCTCCTTCTATGTTATACATTTGATATTTCTGTAGTAAATATTTTTCTCAAAATATTTTAAATTTGCTTTCTGTTCGAAAAGGAGACCACTTTATTGGCAAACATGTGCTTAAGGGTAGTGAACACAGGTTTTGGAGTCAGGAATTTCAACCCTGGCTTTACTAAATATTCTTGGGTAAGTTATTTAACCTTTCTGACTCTGAGATTTCACATGTGAAAACTGTAAATAGTAATGCACAAATCTCAGGTTTTTTTTGGAGACAAATGAGATGAAAAAATGTGCCTAGTATATAGTGCTTAACATACAAGTGATTTATTTTATTATTTTATTATTGTTGTTATTTTTAATAGAAGTAAGACTATACAATATAATTCTGTTTAAAACCTTTGAAGATTTTTTTTTAATTGAGTTGACTAGGGGCACCTGGGTGGCTCAGGCAGGTAAGTCTCTGACTTTGGCTCAGGTTATGATCTCAGGGTCCTGGGATCAGGCTCCCTGCTCCTGAAGGAGTCTGCTTGTCCTTCTCCTTTGGTCTCTGCCCCTTCCCCTGTTTGTGCTCTCTTTCTCAAATAAAATACAATTTACAATTAAAAAGATAAAATGAAATCTCTAAAAAAATAAAATAAATTGAGTTGACTAAGTGAAGTGACCAAATAGATTAAATTTCCAAATTGTTTTATTTCATGTTGATAAAATTAGTGATATTTTTGTCTTCTACTTCAAGCATTGGTTCAATTTTTATCAGAATCCTTGGGTAGTGGGTGTTTTGGACATGTGTGAAAGAAATACAACCTATACCGTCTTTCTGTGTCTTAATTTAGCTTAAGCCTTTATTGTGCTATTTGCATTTTACTTACCTTTCCAGGATTATACACAGGTTTGGGGGCTTACACAATACCAGGGCACAGAGGTGGGAGTCGACAAATGCTCCATTAGTCATTGGTACACAGCAGTTGCTGCTAGTAATTCTTTGGACACAGATCAGGAAAAGCTCTATTCTCCTTGCCAGGTCCTAAGTTAGTTGGTTATTTTCATTAAGTGATGAGTGGAAGGTTAGGATTTTAGGAAACAGATATTAATCAGAAGAGTTTTTTTTTTTATAGCAATACCCCTTATTTTCCATTGAAAATAAAATTAAATAAAAATCAGATATATCCACAATGGCTTCCCAGTGCTTTACTGATGAGGTTTCATGTTTCATTTTTTTGGCGTAAGCAACAAAGATGAATCTTTCCATATCCCTATGATGCCTTGTCTTTGGGAAATGAACAAAAAGTTCATTCAGAGTTAAGTTCAAAAAACACTGCTTCCTTTAGACGGTGGTAGCCAGCCTTCAAGGTGGTGCCTAATGAGGCATTCCTTCTGGCATTCTTGTTCTTGTTTGATCTTCTCTCATAATCAGTAGATTTGATCCATATAACCAATAGGATCTTGGAGGAAATAACAATGTGCAATTTCTGAATGTTAGTCATAAAAGAGATTGTGGCGTCTGCCTTCTCTTCACTATCTGTCTCCCCAGGAAAGCCAGCCACCATATTTTGAGAATCCTCAAGCAGTTTTGTGGAGGAGAGGAACTGAGACCAATTGCCAACAGCCACGGTGAACTTGTTCGTCCTGTAAATGACCTACCTGGGAAGTCAGATCTTCCAGACTTAGTCAAGATGTTACATGAGTGTAGTCTTAGCTGACATTTTAACTCAGGAGAGAACCTGAACCAAATTGACAGAGCTAAGCCACTCTGAAATTCTTGACCTACAAAAACCATGTGAGATAAATAATTATTATAAGTTTAAGCCATTAAGTTTGGAATAATTTATTGCAGCAATAGATAACTAAAATACAGGCATATAAGAATTCTTATGAATAGATGTAAAGGCTTTGTCAATAATCCCTTGCTTCCCCCCCCCCCCCCTTGTAATATATACACATTACTTTTTGGGAACAGAATGGTTCGAGTTTTGTGGTCTTGCACTCTGCAAATGACATTTCATCTTCACAAAGTTCATTTTTTTCTCCAGAAGAAAGATTGAATGCATGTCAGATGACCAAGAGGTTTAGTCAGCTGAGTCAGGACAGTCTAAAATTCTCCTATTTGTGTCCACCTGGCTCTCTTAGCTTCTCTATCTCCTTTTATTTCTGTGCCAATCTTGGTGGAGTTGAGTGGGTGGGGTACAGGAAAATTTTTGCTGTTTCTGTGTCAAGCTTTGGGAGTAAGGAAGCATGAGAGACTCTGGGTTTTCTTTATTCTCATCTGCTTAAATTCACCACAATTATGTCTTCTCCCTAAGGGTCCTGGCCCCATTATGTCTTCCATATAGGGCTTTCCAAAATCTCTATAATCACCAATTAGAGAACTTATTTCTAGTCTATATGTGTGTCTGGCAGAGGGGGTAGGTGGAGGTGACAGATATGGTACCTTTCTTTCTTCATTTCTTCTGAGTATTTTGTCTCTACCCCAGATATTATCCATTTAAGTTCTTTGGCTGTTGAAAACCATAGCCAGAATGACTGTTAGGCTTTTCTGGTTTTTGCCTTGTTTTACTCCTCTCAGGCATGTTTTTTTTTTTAATAATAAATTTATTTTTTATTGGTGTTCAACTTGCCAACATACAGTATAACACCCAGTGCTCATCCCGTCAAGTGCCCCCCTCAGTGCTCATCACCCATTCACCCCCACCCCCGCCCTCCTCCCCTTCTACCACCCCTAGTGCGTTTCCCAGAGTTAGAAGTCTTTATGTTCTGTCTCCCTTTCTGACATTTCCTACCCATTTCTTCTCCCTTCCCTTCTATTCCCTTTCACTATTATTTATATTCCCCAAATGAATGAGAACATACACTGTTTGTCCTTCTCCGACTGACTTACTTCACTCAGCATAATACCCTCCAGTTCCATCCACGTTGAAGCAAATGGTGGGTATTTGTCATTTCTAATGGCTGAGGAATATTCCATTGTATACATAAACCACATCTTCTTTATCCATTCATCTTTCGATGGACACTGAGGCTCCTTCCACAGTTTGGCTATTGTGGACATTGCTGCTAGAAACATCGGGGTGCAGGTGTCCCGGCGTTTCACTGCATCTGAATCTTTGGGGTAAATCCCCAACAGTGCAATTGCTGGGTCGTAGGGCAGGTCTATTTTTAACTCTTTGAGGACCCTCCACACAGTTTTCCAGAGTGGCTGCACCAGTTCACATTCCCACCAACAGTGTAAGAGGGTTCCCTTTTCTCCGCATCCTCTCCAACATTTGTTTTCCTGCCTTGTTAATGTTCCCCATTCTCACTGGTGTGAGGTGGTATCTCATTGTGGTTTTGATTTGTATTTCCCTGATGGCAAGTGATGCAGAGCATTTTCTCATGTGCATGTTGGCCATGTCTATGTCTTCCTCTGTGAGATTTCTGCTCATGTCTATTGCCCATTTCATGATTGGATTGTTTGTTTCTTTGCTGTTGAGTTTAAGAAATTCTTTATAGATCTTGGAAACTAGCCCTTTATCTGATACGTCATTTGCAAATATCTTCTCCCATTCTGTAGGTTGTCTTTTAGTTTTGTTGACTGTATCCTTTGCTGTGCAAAAGCTTCTTATCTTGATGAAGTCCCAATAGTTCATTTTTGCTTTTGTTTCTTTTGCCTTCGTGGTGGATGTATCTTGTAAGAAGTTACTGTGGCCGAGTTCAAAAAGGGTGTTGCCTGTGTTCTCCTCTAAGATTTTGATGGAATCTTGTCTCACATTTAGAGCTTTCATCCATTTTGAGTTTATCTTTGTGTATGGCGCAAGAGAGTGGTTTTTTTTTTTTTTTAATCAGGCATGTTTGTTTGAATAAGGGAAAGGGATGGAGGAAATGCTGGGGAGAAAAAAAAGAATGTATGTTAATACCTCAAAGATATGCCAACACACTTATGGCAATTCATACTGAAGGTGAGAGTAAACACAGGGAATAAAGTCTGAGAAAAGCTGAGATACTTCTGTGGGTCCTGGCCATTTTAGAAAACCTGAAACACTCTTTCTTAAGACTGCCACAGATAAAAAGTTTGGCAATAGTATAATTTAGATACATTTTAATATTAGAATAACTATTGAATTCATTTAAACATTTCACAAAGGTAGGAAACTAGTTCTTGGTGCTATCTGTTGAATGTGCAGACCAGTGGTCTTACGCAACATATTAAGTAGGCACTCAAGCCCTGCCCCAGCAATTCTGATTCAGACCAAATTATCTGTTTCATTTTAAGGGTGTGGTCACTTTTATTCCTCAAGTTATATATCCATT